CATATTATTTATAATTATATTAGTTGAATAAAAATGCACTTTAAAATGGTGTTTCGTCGCTTTTTATTAATTAGAGACCGAAATAAAACAAATATTTGTGTTTTTCAAATAAATTTTCTTTAGTCTCTTTTATAATAAATGAATTTATCAATTTTTAAGTAAAAATTGAAAGTGTCTGTAGAAGTAATTTTTAAAATATCCTTTTACTTGATAAGGTTTTAATACTTATTATTATAATCTAGACATGTTAATTTTTAAATATACTTGTATATTGGGCCACAAGTATATATTATATATACTTGTGGCCCGAAACTCCTTGACTTCTTCCAATGCAGCCCAGAGAAACAAAAAGGTTGGACACCCCTGATATAAAACTTCATAATAAATTACCGTTTGTAGACATCACATCCTGAAGATCTCATAACAGCTTAAATTCTTAAAAAAAATATGTTAAATTATGTAAGGTATGAAAAGTCATTAACTATCATTCCAGTACACATATGAATATCAAGAAAAATATTATTAATACGTATTTCACCAAAATTAAAACACGTATAAGCAATTACCTTGAACAAAGTGAAGAAATAGAACACATTTATAAAATATTTATACTAATCGACTATCCAAAGAAAATGATAGAGAACTGGCTTACCAACACAAACCCAACTACAGCCCCAAAAAATATCATACCAACTCAAATGGCTTATAAAAATAACTTACTTGCAGTACATCTCCATAGTATTCGAAAAAAATACTAAAACCACATAATATAACTCTAGCCCCAGTATTTTAGTAATATTATTAAAAATTTACTAATAACTAAAGAAAATATCATTAGAAATATTGATATAATGCAACAAAATAACGTTATATATAGAATATCCTGCAGCTGCCAATTGAATTATCAATACATAAGTGAAACTAGAAGAACCCTTAAAATCAGGCTAAAAGAACATATACGTGCTATTAAATTTAATTACACTAATTTTGTTGTAGCCATACACTTTATTAGTAAAAGTTACGAGATTTTACTCAATAATCTAAAATTACTGAGGAAAATAATATTATAAAAAAATTATTTGTACAGTTGGAAATTACTAAAACTAAAAACTTAATTAAACGACGATCTAACTCCTTCTTAACAGGTTGTATCCACAAGTGATTCCATCTCGCCCCACCTCCTCCAGATGATACCCATCTAGTAAAGTTATTTTGCCTTTCCGTATAGATACAACAGCATTCTGCAAGTGCAATCGGGAACGTAAGGATGACCTAAACTCTGTACACCTCTACCTTATGTAACATTATATACTTAGTTTATTTTTTGGTATTTTAAACACCATAAGAAGGGTTTCCAATTCTTGAAACAATCAATGTTTATGTATTAATTCATTGCAAATGTAATAAAGTTTAGTATCAGAAGATGAAAACTAAATGCAAAGATGTGCGTGTTCTTTATTAACTACACGGCATCGAAGATCAATAAAATTCATCAAAAACTCGTTTGTAGTATCGATCGTCAGAGTTCATTATTTACAATAACAACTTATTATTGTAGAAATTTTAATATATTTTATTAATTTCTTAATGTGTTTACAACCTGGTTTCGTCAATATTCGTGTCGAGAGAAATTAAAAATTGTTTTGTAAATATTCGTGTAAACCGAATAGAAATAGGTTACAGAATCCTATTGGAATATAAAATAAGATACAGGAAACACTCTCGGATAGAAAAAAGAAACGAAAATACGACAAGTCACGATTGTCTACAATAAAAAATATCTAAATTAATTTTGAGCAGCAAAATGCACTCAGCTTGATGCAAGTGTTAAAAAAAAAATTGTAAAATACTTCTTTCTGTCATGTGATAGCATTGTCATTTTAATGTTATATCATACATTTTCCACAAAATTAGACAGTTATATACAGATGCATACTATTGCAATAGAAAATGAAAGCACCTCTCCGCAATATTAAATAAATTCTGCTGGCTGAATAATAGTAAACAAATAAAAGTTTCATTACAACTTCACTGCACGATTGTCATGCAGTAATGATGTACTGCAAAAATGAAGCAACGAGTTACGTAACTTAACTTTCTCCCTTGTTATAAAATTTTATTTAAAAAATAACTTTTATACTATACTTTTACTTATAATAAAATTTTATTGTGGCACCATCTGTTATGATATTTTGTAATCTGTTATAAAAATTTTCATATTTTTTGAATATTTTATTGATTTACTTATTTGTTTCATCTCAAAATTTCATACTTCTCTTGAAATGCTACAATAAAACAAAAAATAAATTTAATTTTACAGGAAAATCTTGAGAAAATATAAAAAAAAATATTGAGTAATAAGTTTTATGCATATAATTATATTTTTTAGTTTAGATGGTGCAGATTTTTAAAGTATTCGTGATGATAATATTGATACATAGGGTAATAAATCTACTATATCGTTATATTTTTCTTTAGTAATAGGTTTAGTTTTTGTATTTAAAGATGGAAATTCGACAGAGAAAATAATCAGTTAATTGACAGTCTCTCACAAGTATTTTTTTTTTTTCAATATTATATACATAAGAAAGCCTTGCAGAGATTGCCTGTTCACCTTGCGCCATTTTTAAATAAACGGATTTGGAAATTGCTATAAGTTACCTTTAACTGATCGCGGGTTGGAAACGAATAAATATGTTGGTCACGTGGAATTTTTTAGTTTTATTCTCGTCTCTACAACTTAAATTGCAGACAGATTCATATAGAGTATCCTCGAGATCCTTTGCAGATCGTTCTTGTGTTATGTGAAATCCGCGGAGAGAAGAGGTCAATTTTTAAAAAATATTTAAAATATTTGACTTCTTTGATACATCCTTTTTTGTGAATAATTATTGAACATTAGTCATTTATAAAGAGAGAGAGAATAAACTTCTTTTCACATAACCCTTATCTTGAAAGTTAGACAACCTTCCGCATGTTTACCCCCTTCATTCCTCCCTAAACATCCAGTTGACGATACAAAAGTTCATCTTTTGATTGGTTGAGTAACATTTAATATATCAATTCACATCCTGCGATCGGGGAGTTCTCCACCAGATCCACATTGAGAAGGATCTAGCCCTACAGTGGTCCTCCACATAAAAGACAGCGCAGTTCGTCAGAAGCACAACCTGTCATCCGAACTGGTCACATAAGCGTCGATCTCCGAATAAGATTGCTATATGTAATTAAGGATCGCCTCTCATAATATTTGAAGACACCATATAGAAGACATAGTAATATAATGTATTCTAAACGCATAGATTAAAGCTCCAAAGCTCCCGATAAAAGACAACGACTACGAATACTATATGAATTGAAGTAGTATATGCTAGAATTATGCAAACTCTCTCTCTCGCGTGCATGGATTAGATTAGCATATAATTGATTTCTCAGTATTTGTATCTTGTTTCACTGATTTATTAAATTCATTGTTATCGTTTAATATTGATTCATCCTTGACGAAAGTCCGAGCTTACGTTCACTCCAATTACTCGCAACTCTCCCACTCGAGATTCCTCTAAAAAAAGAAATAAGCGTGCCTAACGCTATATCTATGCCGGTATCAAGAAAACAATTCCCAGTGTGTTTCTTACGAACTTCTGTTCTTTCTTCTAAGTCTTAGGAAGTCATCCTTTGACGTTGCAAGCCAATCTAAAGAATTGCGTGCCGTTTAAAAGACCATAAGTTTCAAGAGCTATTGGAACATGAACTCTATGCTCTTGGCTCCTCACAGTTGCATTATACCATTCTCCAGCAAACAATCAACTTTCCGCCCTATGATAACTAATACAGCTATTTTTATCAAGCCTATCGTACGTTCGACCGGGCCGAAAATAAGATAGACAGGAACCAACCCCGAAGAATTCCTAACGTTTTTTGATTTTCCTCTTTGTGTCCTACCCAGAAAAATATAATAAAATCTTAAATCTCTCAATTATCTGGTCGTGATTAAATTTCTTATGTAAACTAGCAGGTAGGCCCGGCGTTGCTCGGGCAGCAGTAACGATAACTAAGATTAAGATTATTACGTTACAGTCAACCTTACCCGTTTTCACAGAATGCATGAATTGGGTCCCCTTGTTTCCAGAGTAATTATAGAATTTTAAATGGGTCTAAAAATATGTTCGATTTCCCTCAAAAACGAAAAAAACTGCATTTGCGTCTTGCACGTCGCTTTCTCTTAACAAGTCCATTGTTACGTAACACTTCCATTGTTGATGGAAGTGTTAAGCCTTAAACCTGACCCTTCCCCCCGTAGAAAGGAATGTCGAAAAATCCCTTCTTAGTGTGCTTTGGTAAACTACCCTAACTGTATACCAAATTTCAACTCTCAACTCCTAAAAAATTAACAGACTAAAAGCTTATATCGAAAACCGTATGTAGCCAATGTTTTCGAAATTACTTTTGTAGTAGAATTAGGTTTTGTTGTTTCTTTTTCCATCTCAGAGTATGTTTTTGGTTGATTCTTATGTGTGTGTGGTTTCCTTCTGAGCTGGTGTCCTACAAAGCAGGATCTCCCTAACAAAAGTTAGAAGAGGGTGCCAAACTTACCTCAAGGTTGGGAAACCAAGATGGTGGTTGTTCTTCATGATTGCCTTTTTTGTTGTTGTAAGATGTGGAAGCCAAAATGGTGGCTGCACGTTTGAAGATGAATTCTAAGCCGGTCTTTTTGCCTTCATGATGTTGTTGTTAAATTCCACTAGTTGGGGAAGAGGAAACGCCCGCCGAAGCTGGGAAGTAAAACAGTTAGACTTTGTTTAGGGCTTGTTGAGTGTTCAGGCTAAGCTAATTGCTAGATCTGAACACTCAGCTAGCCCTAAAAAAAGCTCAATTTCCTATACTTCAGAATAGGAAGCTGGTGGTTAACAGTACATTTAGGCCAAAGAGAGCTGAAACAGCTAAAAACTGATCTATAGCAGGAACAATATAGGAAGACAACTTTATTGATCTTTACTAGTTTCTGCGGATTTTTAAAACCCTATAATCCGTGGCTTTATTTCAGTAACTTACATCACACAAGAAACTCTTATAGATATCGGCTCTATTGTTGAATGTAGATATGGATTTCAGCTCTTAATGACCCCGTTTCAGTCCTTATCTTTTTGTAAAATTTGAAATTGTGATTGATTTTGAAATTTAATGATATTGAGTATAAATAGAGAGTTTATAATCCGCCTACACTCATGAATATCAGATTTAGTATAGAAAATATCTTCTCAATAACACATTTTTAAAATTTTCTTAAAATTTATTATTTTCTAGTAAGTTTACAATTTGCAAAAATAGATGTAGACTTTGTATTGTGAAACACTGATGACATCAGGGACAGAATTACTGGAATTACCAACAAAGCGTGGAAAGCTGTTTCTATTGTTATGAGAAACACAATTTTGATAAAAACTAACAATACATAAACGTCTTTATTAAGAAATAATATCCCTAAAATAGTGGTTAAAGATCCTTGAAAGATAGGATAGCCTAAATGATATAAAGAATCTTTTAATTTTTCATTGGGTGTTACGTGAATAGATTTTAAAAAGGCGTAAGCGATATGAGCTGGATAATTTACACAAAATCCGACACATAAAATCAAACTCATCATAGAAAAGATATCCAAGTTAACATTCCATAAATTCATGAAACCAAGAGTTTCTGTAATGGTAGAAACTACAGAAATTGCCATCAAAATAGCACAGATTATATTCGGAATAAATAAAAGAAATACAATAATTATTAATAAAGAAGTAACCCAAAATAGCTGAATGATAATACGTTGAATGGCAATTCCCTGTTCCATCAGTATTGATATTGGAGTGTGTATCAAGACAGAAAACGGTGCCGAATCTGCAACTTTCAACAAGTTCTCAATTAATATTGTTTCCGATTCATAGCCTGATATATTTTTAGCTATAAGGATAAAACGAGAACAAGTAATGTCGGTTTTGTCTTCATTAAATAAAATATCAGAAGAGAACATATCGGCGCCTTTAAATTTCAGGAATACATTATACAAACCGTCCAAAAAGTCTTGTTTGTCTGACATATTGTAACCTTGTAACGAGTATTTAGATACAGGATTCTCTTGAAATAGCTTATAATACTTTAACCATGACAAACTATATCTTCTATCAGCTATATATGGATTATGTTCAAAAGTTTCTATAAGATTATCTAAAGATTGTTGTACACTGAGATCTGAATAATCTAACGTTTGATTAATGATTATTTGAACGGGAAATGCATATTCGCCGAAATGTGTAAACAAAGTTCGTGCACTTTTGGATACAGGAGAATCATAGGAATACATGTTTTCCCAATCTATACCCCTCTTCATTGAGAATGTTCCCCATATTCCAAACCCCAAATTAATAAAATACAAACTAATTACTACAATTTTTGCTATTGAATGAGAAAGAACGCCTCCCATTTGATTCCTGAACATCTTCATCAATAAATGTTCGTTTTCTTCTTGATTCCTCTGACGACAGATTTCTGTAAAATTTTTTAAAATAATATGAAGTTAAATAGTAAAAAAATTTTTTTATATTTAAAAAATTTTTATCATTAGAAAACAATAATTATATTATGGAAAAAGTAAAGCAGATCGAATTTCCGATAAATTAATACCGAAAAACCCTCGAAATCCGGCAATAATCTGTTGGTTTTCAGAAACTATTCGTATTGTAAACATGTAAATATTATAATCCACTACGTAGTCGAAGAAGCATATATGTATCATAGTATATTGTTCTTTATGTTATAAATAATATAATAAGTATTAATTAACATTCCATATTCAGTTTTTATCATACTGAATCCTTTCTAATCTTCTTTATCACCAGCAAAACTCTATACTTCACTTCGAACCGAGAGCATTAAAACATTCATGATCCGTCTGTACAAGTATGAACACTTTCTCATATTTTATTTTTTATTCACACTGTTTTATGTAGGTTATGTTTTAATGGAAAACTAACAGAATTAATTACACATTTAATCCTCAAACAATATTCAATTTTCAAATATAATTTAATAATATAAACTTCTCAAAAGTAAAATCGCAACACCACGAAGAAATGGGCGTGGTAACATGCACATTGCACGACCGGTAGAAGTGAGAGACATATGCAATAATAAAATACACCTGTTTATTAATTAACAAATTCTGCCTTTAAAGGGAGATATACAGGCCGCTATATGGCAAGGCATACTAACAATAAGGCAATTAATGGTTGCCTGTCTCGTCCCACAGCAGTTAATTAGTGGTATTTAGCTCACTCTCATCTTTGAGGCATTTTCTATGCTTTAAAAGTTTCGCTGCCACAAATCATCGCTGATAACATTTATGGCCAGAGTCAGCTACTGGTTTTTATAGTCCAAAACTGAGTATAACTCGATGCATACATAAACTTAACTATTTGTGTATCTCCGTCACCGCTACTGGTCCTGAAATTTTCTTGTGGCTATGGGTATTCCTTCTCGGTGTTGAAATTTCTATTTTGAGAAGTCTATTGATTCGAGTTTAAGATAATGATACGCATACGGTATCGTTATCTTAAACTTAATTATTGGACACATTTTTATTCTTTTGATCTGGTTGATGAAAATGTATGTACAGATGAAAGTTTACAGGTTAATTATTTAAGACGTGTGAAACCTGGATATGTATTTAATTTTATAATATTTTTTTGTAATTAAATTTTTAAAATTATGCACTATTTTTCATCTGTTATATTGTATTCCTTTCCTTCGCGGCACATCAATTACTTGTATTTATTTGATTCATTGCATTATAAAATCACTGCCTTGACTTTAATTTTCAAAATAATGAGAGAAAGAGAGTAACAAGTTTCTCTTTTATTAGTCAAAGTTACTAATGAAACAATTTTCATAAGTAACATTAACGTTTGAAGGTATATTTCTCAATTAAGAAGAATATGCGTGAAAATTAATTAATTAATATCGTTGAATTGGAAAGAATTTTGCAAGATTTCATTGATCTCGAGTAGTTGTCTCCTGAGAATTATCTTCAAGTGCAAAACCATTGGAAATCATCACAGGCAAAATAATTATATGGGTTACATAGTTGTTACGGTTCTCAATTTCCATCGGCGGTAATTGTGGCTATATGATTCAGAAACTCTTCGGCAAAACACTGCACCATTATGCATTCCACCGGATTTTAGATGTTTTGGAATAGTGACACGGATTTCAATGCTTGGTTAAACTGGAAACATTGTCACTGTTTTTATCATTTCTTTAATTAATTTCCAGAAATTTAATCTTGCATTTTCCGTGATAAAGCTAATAATTTTTCATGTCACGTTTCGTTATTCAGTAAATAAAGTAAAATATATATTTAAATACAACTATTTAATTTTGAAAATAACTTATTGCTTACCGGATAATCGAAAAGTAAATGGATGAAGTCTCTTCTCTTCTCTGTATCCACTTAATGCCATGCAACCACCGAAAAATGTTATTTGAAAAATATAAGCGAAGAATATGCAAGCTGCAGAATAATAGCAAAATAATTTTACAACAGGAAACAACATTGTCATTCCAATACAATATGCAAGAAAGTTCGTCAAAGAAGTCAGTGTGATGGAAACTCCGGCTTCGCTGAAAGTATAAGCAAGTCGATCTTCCACATTACTTTTTGGATCAGTAATCCTCCAACACGCTATCAACACATAAGCATCGTCTATCTCTGTGACTAACGATATAAACCATTTTAAATATAATTACTGCACCCTGTGAATGAATAAATTAAAATCTATCGTTAAAATACTCACCGATAACTAAATATGGAATGCAAATATTCCAATACGTGCTTTCTATCTGAAATATTCCCATTAATCCAAATGAAGTTAGTATTGCCAAACCAGCCGATACAACACTTGCAAGACCGAGCCATGGTTTACTTCTAATCATCGGGACACTCAAACAACTGATGATAGAAAATAGAGATATAAAAATAACGACTGCAACTATTCTTGATTTTATATCATAAAACGTTATTTTTGAGTGTCTTATTGCCATCCACAAGGGATCAAACAAAGGATTTATATATTGAAATTCGTGATTTACTATATTTCTAAAAGCTGCTTTGGTCCACTGTTCAAACCATTCTTTTTTCCATTTCGTACTAACATCAAATGGGTATATTAATCTCATAGCTTTTACTTTTTCAACATATCCTTTACTATTTGTTTCAACTCCACCTAAATTTAATGAATACATATGATACGATAAAGTCAGCATATCTATCTCTACAGGAAATTCGATTCTTTTACGTTTAGCCAATACAATATCCATGTTCGATATCAAGTATGAAATTGGATTTTCGAAACACTTTTTATGAATAATTCCACATATATTGTGATATCCAATCTGATCATTGTTAATGGAAATATTAATATTTTTAACGATTTCATCCAATACCTTTATCTCCTTAAGTATGTCTTTATTCATCATGTTTTCATTCAAATTATTTGGTAAGAGATAAATCATTAGGCCTTTAGGAACACTAAGACATCTTACAATATCAAAATTTTCAGAAGAATTGAAAGGAAAAGTTTTTTCGATAAATATCTTCGTGTCTACAGTTTTACCACTATCTGGTTCAAGAAGATTTTCGATATTATCATTTAACTTCAATTTAAATATTCCAAAGCCAAAGGAAAGTGAAAACAGCAAAGGTACTATTATAAAATACAATGGATGTCTTGCAATTTGTTTTCCTAAGTTTTTAAAAGACTGTGTTATAAAACTTTTTATGTAATCTTTTTTCTTCTTTGTATCCTTCATATTCTGAAAAATATAGAAAATTTTATAAATTAACCAATGAAAAATATAGAAAATTTTATAAATTAACCAATAAAAATTATTTTATTCTCAAATACTTTATGTAGTATTTGAAAATAGTGAATTTTTATAAAACATTATTTATGTTTGTGCTAATTAATACTTATAAATAAAAACTTACTTCAAAGTTTATTGACATTTTGATAGAAAAGTAGACATTGTTAGTAAATGTAATATAATTGAATAATTTGAATAAAATATATTCTTAATACAGTGTTTGAAAAGCTTATTCAAATAAAAGGTATGATTATAAACATTAATAATATTTTACGTAATCATTCTCTATCTTAAGTTTATTATTTATCATTAATTTTTCTATAAATTCACTATCTCATTATATATTTATGTATAAGTATCTGGATTTCGTTATTTTTTGTTAATTGTTTTGAAGTTTCTCGAAATTTCAAATACAATATTATACAAATTATCGGCTGGAAAGGTAGTATATATTACTACCGCTGGAAAAAAACTGAATCGACACTCATGTCTTATAGCATCACTGCAAATTCCTGTATGCTTTGTTACAGAAATCAAGTGAAAACAAACCAGTGTTATAATATACAACTTCTAAACGGAAACGAAATGCGAGAGAAGAATCTTTATGGAAACTATTACGGAATCTTTTGCTTACCAGTTTAAATAAACAAGCCCATGCAAATTAGGTATTGTGTATCTAATATCAAACTGCTTAAACACCAAGAGATGTTTTATGTGTCTTAACTGCCAACAGTGGATCCTGATATTGACACTTGAAATTGCTCATATCAGTGCGTTGCTGAAAAATGTTCTCGCCGTTTTATTGCCCTCACGATGGACGTTCACAGTACGCTGTAAGATATGGTATTTGTTTACAAGAGAAACTGTAAAAACTTTAATACAGAAGTGGGAGTCCACGATTACCTCTGGATCCGAAGACTCGACGTTACGTACAAGACGAAACAGTATATTGCAAGCAAACTTGAAGTAACTGAATGCTCGAAGACTTGGTCGATGATCAGCAGAACACGAATTTCGACAGAACAGAAAGAAATCGTATCCACTTCATGGGTTATTCCACTAAAAATTCAAGAGCAAGGCGAGGTTAGCCGAAGTTCACAGACAGAAAAGCCCGTTTTGGTTTAATGAATAAAAAAAATTGGACTGTAGAAAAATAGTCATGTTATCTTTCGCGATGAATCAAATATCAACATCAACTATGGTAGTGACGAAAAGGTAAAGAATGTCAAGACAAGTATCTAAAATTCAAAGTCAAATTATCTCAGTCCGTCATTATATAAGCATATTTCTCAGCACGAGAAACTAGAAAACTTTGCATTGTTAATGTCACTGTAAATGCAAAAATCTATATGGAGATGATGAAAGAATTCTTTAGCCCAAAAATTGAATACCAGTTAGGAGATGGTGTGTTTATTTTTCAATGTGTAAACACGCCGCGACTCAATTACGTCCGTTGAGAAATTTCTCACACAAAAAATTTTGAAAAGGATAAATTGACCAACAAACAGTATATATTTAAAATTATATCATCGAAAATGTATGACGTTTATTGAAGCGTTTTTGTTAACACTAAGAGTCTAGCAAACAAGGATGTGCTGAAGAACGTTGTTAATAAAAGTACCTGGAGAAACATCACTGCCGAAAACTAAACACCTTTTGGAGTAAATGTTTAAGAAAATGCTGGCAGTGATTATAGCAAAAGGAGTTGATACAAATTATTAAGTATTGATTTTTTGTTGGCGATTTCCTACTCATTTCCACAACTTTGTATCATTTAAAACTTTTTCCATAAGAAGTTTGATATTTTTGTCCTAAGTACAATTAATTGTCATTTATTTGATTTGGATTTGCATATGGGACGTATATTTCTTATCAAATGATCTCTGTAACAAAGTACTACAGTAATTTATAATAATGACACAAGAGAAATACCAGAAAATATGATTGGTGACTCAAAATTTTCTATAGGTGTAGTACACCATACATGACATATATTACTCACCTATTGTTAATTTATTTAATCGATTGACATCAAAATGGGGGATATTCACAGAGTGAACTACTATACACCAGCTTAATTTTAACTTGAGTAGTTTTTTAAAATTAAATTTATAACAAAAATGGATTTGAATTTATATAAAACTAGCTGCAAGGACCCGCTTCGCTGGGATTTTATTTGTTCGTACATTTGTATGTAATATAGTTTTTGATTTTTATATATAAAAGACTGTTTTTCTAAGTAATCTAGAATCTAGCTGCAAGGACCCGATCGCTGGGCAAAAAGTAACGATAGTGAAAATTAAGATAATTACATTATAGCTAATCTTACCCGTTTTCACAGAATGCAAGAATTAGGTCCCCCGTTTCCAGACTAATAAGAGGATTTTTACGTCCAGTCAAACGAACTATTTTCAACGTTTCTGGAACGTTTACAATCGTTCTATAATCGAACCAATATTCGAATTTTATGTTCGAATTTAATTCGAACAAA